TGTCCGTGAACCTTACCCACACCTTTGTATTACAATACTTTATCATTGTAATCACCATCCACGCCTTTTCTTAATATTATAAGGGGTCCAATAGTAGCAAGTCCCTTTTATATATTTATTTACAGTCGTAATTTCTATAAGTGTTTCAGTTTCTAAGAAAATTAAGACTGTTTACGTGATTGTGTGTCGTAATATACACTAGTCTAACTTAAAGGTTTCTTCACCAATGTCAAAGACATTTCTTCTATAATTACTAGACAATATCTTTCATAATTTCTCCATGGATACTGTTATTTGCTGCTGGTTTATTTCCGGTAGTGTGTTTAAATGTCACGTGTACAGTTTCAAGTATTTCGGGATGTACACGAGATGAAAACTGCAGAAATAGAACAGCAAATCATTTCACTCTGATCACAGACTTCCTTGATGATATCGAAATATACAAAGCTATTTTAACTAATCTGCACTACACAATTCTAGAAGATGGGCTGTCTGGATATATGTCTTGGGGGTATCCAACACGTTTAGAGTATCTGGTAAAATCGATAAAAACAGCCAAGTTCGTATCCAATATGTCGTATAATCATACCGAAAGGTCACCTCCTCAAAGTATAATATTTAGTTTCGAAACTGCTCTAACAACCCAGATATATTTAGATACAATTTTCACGAAGTTAAACACTTCATCAATTACGATTATGATTAAAAACCTGGAATAGATGTACTGCGGGAAATTTTGATTGGGCACTTGATTGTACAGGAGTATAGACATTGCTTATAAGAACTCGTTCTAGACTTTATTAAATAAGATCTTTGAGACTGAAGCATATAAGTAACTTAACTGAAGGAAGTGATTGTTTGTGTCTTTTCGTGTTTCGTAATATTTTTACGCTAAGGGTTAAGTCTTGTGCCTGATTGCAGAATTCAGCGTCCCTACCCAATCAGTATACGTGATAAACATCCTCTCTTCTATATTTGCAAAGGTAAGCGATACATAAGTACAATGAGTTTTATTCTCACTTCGGGTTAGTGTTAATCGATTGTCATGTTTCTAAATTGATGTATTACCACCTTTCTAAATGTATATAGATGGACTGTAACATTTGCATGTTATTAAATTACCACACTTCCATAATATTAATGACTTGTCAAGTTTCTCTTTTATTGAATTTTTGACATTGCGATAGTAAAAATTGTCACATTTCTAAACTTATGTATTAACTTTTGAACATTTACGTGTGTATGTTCGCACATTTATATAACTATTCCGTCTTTGCGTATTGCAGAGTTATCTTCTCTTGGGAGCAGGTATTGATTGTTACGTCATTGGTTTGTGCGAGAAAATTACGTCGTTTTCTCAAAAATTGATGACGTTACTCTCACAAACAAGTGACGTAACAATCAATACTTGCTCCCAAGATAAGATAACTCTGCAATACGCAAAGACGGAATACAATATATCTGGAATGTTTAATGAATTGCTACATTGCTACATGTACCATGCATGTCAATAAAATGTGACACAACTTGACGAATGGATGTTTAAAACAGGTCTCCTTATAGGTGCTGAATGCGATTATGAGATAATAGATTAATAACAGTATTTTCTCTATCCTTACTTATTTAGAAGGTCTTTTATTGATTCGTTTTTATTATTTAATTAAAAGGAATTTTAGCTCTGATACAAACACGCATGATATTCACATTGACGCGCATTGTAATCTTCTACCAGGATTATGTAATTGTTATGTTGCTAAAAGAGCTTTATGCAATCGAGTGTAAAAATTCAACGTCGATATCTGTGACGGGTGTTAGTATACAGTTAAAGTATGGGGTTGAGGGATAAAGCAAGTTTCTGGTGTCCCGAGACCAGGTCTTTGCCTTGGGAAATAGGCATGGTCAAGGGACACCAGAAAATTGCTATACCCCTCAACCCCATACATACTTTAACCGTTTTATTATACTGATACACACTGGAGACATAGTATAGCTGTATAGCTTCACGTCCCAACTACCCTTTTGATGGCAATGGAGCCAAATGCTTCCGAGTTCGGTAGCAAGCCCGCCCACCTCGCGGGTCGCTTCCGAGTTCGGTAACAAGCTCCACCCACCTCTCGCCTGATTGGCTCGGCGGAAACACCCGAGTGTAGGTGTAAATTTTATCCTCTCTGTCGATAGTGAACGGTGTTAATATCATTTTAATTGTTATTAATTAAGCAACGTATTGTCTGTGAAATTCTTCATTTTAACGGCATGCTCATAAAAAGAACCGCGTTTTAAGAGGCAGTTATTATAGTATCATATATAAATATGATTTTGTGTTTCCATGTCAGTTATATCAACGTAATGTCGATGACTGAACGCTGACAAGGTCGTTTCTTTATTTGGGGCATTTATTCCAACGAAGGTGCTTCACACCTGTTTGGTCAGAAGAAATTGATGTCTTATGAGGCAAATGTGTCTGCCAAGGACCACAAGTAGGTCATTACACCACGCTATCAAATCTTTATTTTACGTAACCAGACGACATTGGAGTCGTTCCAGAAGTATTATTACATTTTAAAGCCTCGTAAGGAGGAAGAACATAGCCCGAATCAAATATTATTGTAGCCACAGACATAATGGGGATCATATTAGGAGACCACATGCATGTAGAAATGACAATTTATTTTTATCAAACTACCACACATATTTTATTTACTTATAATTAGCTCCCCTGCGATATCAAGCGCGCACACCTTTTGCAAACTTTGTGGCTAAATACACCCTTTAAACGCTTATTGACTAAGCGTATCCTTACAAGTTTCATGGCTAAGCACAACTTAGCAAGTCCAGTAGTTAGTCACATCTTTACAAGGTGAGTGACTGAGCAGACCTATACAAACTGAGGAACTTTTGTAAACACACCCTTACTCGTTTATCAGCGATGTACATCTGTACAAGCGAAGATGGGTGGCTTCACAAAACTTTAAACAAACGTTCAGCACACTTTTAAGTTGATTGACTTAACACACCTTTACGAAATTTGTTGGCTAAGCAAACATTTAAAAGTTCAGTGGCTAAGGTCACCTGACCACCAATTTTGGTTAAACACACCTTTACGAAATATTTTCACGTTTTTTGACCAAGAACACCATTACACACTAGTTGGCTAAAACATCTTTACAAGAAAAGTGACATCGCATACATGTAACAGCTCTGTGTCAATGGTAGTATTTTTTCATCTTGAGTGCACTCGAAGACGCTAATTGGCTAAGCATATGCTACGCGATACTTTTAGGTATTTTTCTAAGATGAAGTGAATATTGGTACTTCGGTTGATAATGTACTTTGGTATCGTGTTGTGTGGTGTGTGTTTCTATACTGTGGAGTATGCTGGTACATGTCTATTTTGTCGCTGGAACTGTTTGTAGACGACATACATGTATATCTGAATACGTATAATTTCATTACGTACAGCAGGTAACGGGTTTTGACAATTGTGCGTCATCACAGAATGTTTAGCGTCTGCTTGTGTTGGCGGGTAGTGACCTTTAGCTGGGAAACTGCGCGTTTATTTTTCTGCAACATGTGCTTGATTATGAAATTTCGTTCCCGGTCTCTTTCTTTAACCAGAGTTTGATGAATGTTCGTGGTCCGATGGTTACACAATTAGAGTCAATATTGAATGATAGCAAGATGCGCCGCCCTTGAACTTTTCGCACGTTGAGCTTCTCTTGGGGCAGATTGGACAAAATTCATTGATCCAGTAATAACATCTGCCAATGCATAAGTGGTCTTCATTGAGACGTTTGTTATAATAAGTGTGCTATGACTCTTTGATATACAAAAAACATATGCCACCAATATCCTCTGACCAATCTTGTTTTTATCCCAGAATAACCCTAATTGATGGTCAATCCTCATTATTATTCAGTGAAGCGGCCGTCAACTGTGACTATGCCAGAGGAGCGATCTATATAAAACGTATGAAAAATATCACTGGACAACAGCCAAGTAGCCTCTTAGTTCCTTTCCTTAAGGCAATACGCGGGTGAAAAAACTACTTGATAAAAAAAGAGATTTTTTCCATGTACATTGCATATTCATTGATAAATACTTTGCGAGGTTTTGAGAGAAATTTATTATGAACTTTTTGTGAAAATCCACTTTTTTGAGAAATTTGGTAACTTTCACAAATTCATCTCAATGCAACTATAATTTCCCAAAAAAAACCATAATTGAAACCTCACAACCATGAAACAGTATATCAGTAATCATTATAATAAGAAATACTTGTTATACACCTTCTACATTTTAGTAAAATTGAAATTATGTAATATGAAATTATTTGAAAATTTACCGAAAAAGAAATATCAGAAAAACTGCTTGATATTTTTTTCAATTTTTTTTTGTATTGAAACCTCTCATGTAAAGAAGAATTGTAAAGAACTTTAAAAACAATTTACCTTTCCAAAACCTGTTGAGACATTTTTTGGCATGAAATGTTTATTTTTAGGTGTTGTAAGAGTAGCCTCCCTTGCAAAAATTCCTCAAAAATACATATGGATTACAAAACACTAACTACAACATAAAAAAGAAGGAAATTCCATGATNTACTATAGGCTAACTTGATATGTCTTACTGACAAACCACTACCTGCAATCTTGCTTGCCATAAAAGCAGAAATCACCTTTTTCTCCACCAAAATAGTGAAAGATGGCAAATTATTATCCTTTTTTTCTCTTGTACACAACACAATCCTTCATACTTGCTAATGTCTTACTGTTACAAATGAATACCTCATCACTGACTTTTACACACAACACTAGTTTCTGTAGCAGTCTAACATCCTCACATGCATCATGTGCATTATAGGTTTCACCTAATACCATACCATATACCATATACCTGAAGCAACTTTGGTGTTTACATCCCAAATCTTGGCCGTTTTGGAATCATCTGAAGCCTTGTGTCTTTTTCCGGTGGGGACATGTGTAATGTGTTTGCAAGTACACATGACATTCAGTAAACTTCCCAGTCCATAAAACTGTTCAAACACGCACTGGTGTAGATGTAAAGGCGAATGGCACTTCTGACAGCCCTTCTGTAATTTGTCTGCTAAGTACCCAACTCCACAATTCGTCTGCCTTCCTTCCAGCCGTTATGTTTTTGTTAAAAAATGTGAGTTGGTATTTTAATTCCAGGTAATGTTTAATTTGTAACAAATATTTAGAGAGTGCAACGTACGTTTGAAACTGTTTGGCATCTTCAAATAATTATCCAATTGCAAGTATGTTTTTTGATAAATTGATTGAATATAATATTGGAAGAAAACTTGAATTTGTTTGGGTGGTTTTGGGTAAATCGTGCTGCCGTTTCACAAGTCACACATCCAGTGTCCGTGGCATTTTCACTAGGTTGACTCATGGAACAGTATTGACGAATTTGACGTTTGACCTTATTACATCTATATCACGAACGAGTAAACAAATCTATTCGTTTACATTAGATGCTTACGTGTAATTCCCTTGTGCTGTGTGCAACCGCATCGACATTCATTTCGTCAACATTGACAGATTCGTTGTCACCTAGTCCAGTGGCAGTCTCGCTCGGTTGACACGTGGAACAGTAGTCATGTTCAAGGAGTATGATGTCTGTCAGTTCTTCTGATGTTTTCCTCATTCGCCAGTTTTGCAAATTATCTAATGATTTGCTTCGTTGCTTTGGATGCGTTGACTTAATTCTTCCTCGTCTTGGAAATGTGTTTTCGTTGTCAACCATCGTGCTTATTTATAGCAGAAATAGCGTAGCGAACATGGTTTCTATGTACAAAAGATTTCCAATCAAGGAGCGCAACTCCGTTCAACAGAGGAGCTCTTTTATTTGAAGGTAGGATTCACAAACTGCATTATTATCGTTGAAACGGTCCGGAAACTCTCACCCGCGTATTGCCTTTAGGTGAAGCCAACAAGGAGAAGTCAAATGTTATACATTTTTTGACCATACACGAGCCGCTGACATGCTTGGAATCATAATACTACTGTGGTCAGTATTATATGTCTCTAATACACTGTCAGTAAGAACCTTCGCTCCTAACATGCACCGAATTGTAACAATGAGAGGGCAAAGTTCCAATAGCACAGACACTGGATAAAGGTATATCTCATCTGTCTGGCCATTAAATCATTACTTTACGTAGTAACCCACAAAACACTTCTTTTCGCGGACAGGATTTAATTTAGTCAATTTGACTCGTAAACTGTGAAATCATGGCGACGCTGTGATGTTTCTACGGGTCGGTAATTGCTTTTATTAATTCTATTTTTGTTTCCAACCTCAGACTAGCCGATATGTCCTGTCATTCGAAAGACGGTTCGCGCCATGAGATCAGCTAATGGAAGTTATAGGATAGCGCATGCCCGGAAGTAATCATGGCCTACAAGGGAGCTACCACTTCCTTCTCTCGGCAGGCGAGAGTATACAGACGCCATTAACACGGTTCACGTGATACTTTTGTTCAGAAACATATTTAATGTTAATTGTTCTGTTTTTGTCATAATTTTCTTTATAGAAAAGTGGACATATCGTCACATTTGGAGGAGATAGAACAAATTAATGGCATTTTCCATTTATACTGGTTAAAACACATATCTATGTTCGTCGGAAAGCTGTGAAATGTGATTAGAAAGGATTGAAGCTAACACTACTGGTACATGTTGTTGTCAAAATATCAATATAAATATCTACAAATTGCCATTGTTACGTCCGAATATTTGCGTTATCAGCTGATGTCATAAATACGCAGGCGTAAGCGGCGTTTTGTCCTGTGTTGATAAAACGGCAATTATTGGTGAAGTAAAATGATAAGAATCATTTTTTGTTTTATTTTTTATTTTGAGAAAAGGCAAACAGAAAAAAAATATAAAACTTCGATTTATAGAAAAAGAACAAGTAGGCGGAAATGGGTGACATTCTGTTTTATAATTGTCTTAGTAGTACTTAAGGTATCCGACTATCGACATGAATCACGCCAAACGACGTCATAGAATTACGGACTTGCAACGGTATGTTGAAGTACATGCTGATTGAGAGACAAAATGTCAACTATGTCTTGGAGTCCGGTGATGGAGTTAGTTACCTTGACGACACGCGATTAAAGGGGACCTTTGGAGTACTCCGAGACGTTATTAGTCCTGGAATCTCATAACAATGATCGGGCCCTGAACTACGGAATAGTGACATAACACATGTAATAACACACTTTACCAGTGAAATATAGGGAAATAGCAGCGTGTGATAAAAGTGATATCTTCACAGTAGTGGTATTGCCATCTTCGCTAGTGATGCTTATTGTGACGTCAAAACACAATGTTGACACCTGATTGTAACTTCCAATCAAATGTTCCGTTGCAACATATATTAAGACGGGTCACTTGTAGTCTCAGGCCTGCTAGCTGTTTCGGGAGCACGAGTGAAAATTCCAGATATTCAGCAGGAAACCAATGAGTATAATTTATGTATTAGATAACCGTCTAAGGTATTAGATCATCAACTTGAATTAAGTTTTAAAAGTTCAGTACAACGCCCACTTTTATACTTGTACGTCACATGTAACCTTTCAATCACGTTCACAGTTCTGGGATAAATTGAATTCGTCAGCTAAAAGGGATCCACAATTTGTTCCATCTGCCTTAATTTAGACCCGCGGAAGCTTGTTTCATAAAAAAAACCTGTAATCATTGGGTGGGCGTCTCTATAAAATTTCAGGCGGATCATTAGTATTAAAATATATCTTCTATCATCATTTTAATGTATCATATCGTTCATTCGCCAAAACATATATGTCAGTCTTTATGTACAAAGTTCAGACAGATAAAGGAAATTTCATTTATTTTTTTCTTGCTTCTCTTGGTTCATTGTGTATTTTATACAGATCGTTATACAAAATTCTGGAATACAAATTTGTGCCGGAATGAACGATTGTTTTCAATGATTTCTATTTCCTTAACGCGGAACACGTCATGCAACTAACGTCAAACCGAACCGGGAATTTCCGTGAAAGATTGAATTTAGCGTCACTAAATAATCAGTCTCCGATAATTTCAGCATCAATTAAACGGAAAGACCTGGACAAGTTCCGATTGGAAAACATTTACGCATAATAGTGATTGATTAGCTAAGACATATTTATGTAGGCAAGATGGCTGCCGATGTAATTAGACGACAGCACTCCAGTTGAGTGATGTGACGAGGTGGGATGTGGCATGCATTAAATTGATGGAGAAAGACATTTTGGACATATAGATATAAATATTCCCCAAGCATACCTATAATACCTTCATCCGTTGTCACCAGATTTGGGCGTTAGTCCTCGAGTTATGAAGAGCTGTAGATAGCTGACAATAAACAAGCGACCGATCAAATTTTTAGATGAAGCGATTTTTGTCAGAACGAGCTGACTGCATTGGGATCTGACCCTTTTATACGTCTTGGAACATGGCAGGGACGGGTATAAAGTTTGTTATGAGTTCGTGTGTCATGGCACTAGTAGCTACATATGTAGTAGTGGGATCGATAGTTGTCCGGACAGTTGTCTAGCCGACGTGCATATTAAAGATGGTGCGTTACCTTTTGCATCTCCAACGCAACATGAAATAGGCGTTACATCACTGACCTACCTATAATGCAAATGCTCGCCTACTCGTTTCTCTCGTTCCTGCAAAACAATATTTAGATTCTTCCCTCTATGAAATCGCCCACTTTTTTCATGCGTTATTCCTTACGCAATAACCAGCTTTTCCCATGCATTTTTCTGTCGATGTTGTTGCCCATATTTTCTGATAATTTTCCTCTCCATTTAATAACCTATTTTTTCTAAATAAACAAGTTAAACATTTTGTTTGTTGTTGTGTGGTATATGTACGATGTTCTATCTGGTAAGTCATTCCATATCGTCTCCTTGTATACTAGTACTCTACTGTAAAGCGAGGATGTACACAGGGCATCTGCTGGTGTAATTAAAAGGCGGCGTCGCTACTGTCATTCACCTCTTCTGAACTATCCCCTTCCGGTCAAACCGAGCAGACATCTGATCAGCCGTCACCACTCTCCTATTAACACGTTTGTATCGACAGACCGACTCCATTTTTTTTTGCATTGATTGTTATAGCAAGTTTGATTTCGAATAATATCGAAAAATACTGTATATATTTGGAAACAGCACAGCAGTTAGGGAAAAACTGACATATCTTATTATCGTTTATTTGTCGGATGCACAGTTGTCGAATTTACGTCAATAATACATTTTGTATGACGCATTTCTTCGATAAAAATCCCCATTTGCTAATTGATCGTCGATAACAATTTTATGTGTAAAAAACAAGGTTTTGTATATGTTATATCAAGTCAAATATTGAATGAAGCAATCTGAATATATACAGCTGTTCATTATCACGTACCGCATACGGTTATACGCGTTAATAGCTTTTTTTATATTTTTTTATTAACATCTGATTTTAATGAGATTGTGAATGAAGCAGCCTCTATTTCAGTTCCCTGCTCTCTTACATATTCTAATACCGTTAGGTGTCTACATGTATCTGTGAATGTCTTCAAACTGAAGAATATTCCATTTGTAGCTAGATTTAGACGACTGAGCAGTCACAATCAGGCGACCGATGAATTAATGGTGACTGTGTTGGGATATTACAGTTTACTCACACTTAGAACATAGGCTGCTACATTTTAGTAGTGAAACAGGTAATGTCCAGGTGGTTGCAGGGTATCGGAGTATGTAACTAATAAGCGGCGTCGCTTCCGTCATCCATCTCCCCTGAACTTTCCCCTTCCGGTCATTCACCAGGCACCTTTATTAACAGTTCGACATTTTTCCGTTGATTCGTTAAGCAATATTGTTTTTGTGAAATAAAAAAAAACAGTGTATATTTTTGAAAATAGTGTATATTTTTGAAACATTAAAAAATTCATTAAAATTACTAAAATTAGCGTATGTTATCATTGCTTTATGGTAAGATGAGCAGGTGAGTAATTCTTCCGTAAAGTACATTCGTTAATTAGTTTAAACATGATTTATTGTACAAATATTCAAATGGATTGGACAACAAGTTATTACAACTTAATAAAAGTCCTCTCCTTAATACATATGGTAAATACAATGTATATGTTTTTTGGGGAACAGGAGGAGGATAGGGTGGAGAAGGAAGGGTATGGAGGTGGAGGGGAGGGGGATAGGGAAGGGGGGGATTACCTAGAAAAGAAATCGTGTAAACTGTGAAAAGGATCCGCATTTGAATAAATTATATATTATACAAAATTTCATGACATGCAGTCCGGTATAGTAATTTTATAATGAACAAGATCAATGTAATAAAGTAATCAGGCAAAATAATGAAATGCAATTTCATAAAAATATATAACAACGTACACATATAAATAAAAATAAGGAATGATAATTATAATTATCAAAACCTATTGCTGGATTTGATGTGATGATGAACCTGCTTACAAACTTTTGTATTGGTTTCTACTGAAAGTTGGGTATTACCAGACAAAAGCAATTCTAAATCAAAATCAACACAATCTAATTAAAATTATATCTTCACATCGCTCCCGTTTACTGATATGTCGCGTTGAAGATCTAACAACATCCCATAGAGGGTCACGTCAGAGGTCAACATGAATGCATTATCGTATTTATAACAAGCCAATCAAAACGCGACATACCTCTTTCTTTCAACCAATCAGAAAGCAGGACCTGTAGCATTTAATGCAGACATCTCGTAGCCCAAAATCCAGTGATAGTTTGAATATTGCGAAGCCTGTCATTGGTTAATTTTAGTTTCAGGTTGTTAAACTTTTTAACGACAACATCACCAGAAGAGGAA